AATTCTTGGGGCAGTTCTTTGCTTTTCGAGGCTAGAACGGGAGTATTGAGGATGAAGACGTACCGAGCCAAATACGAAGACACATACACGGTAGGTAGTGCGTTTAGAGAGGAGAAGGAAACGGCTGAACGTTTGATAATGTTCTGTAAAGGGTTCTGTATAGTCCAAAGATAATGGCACGGATTTTTTCAACGCATTGGGGTTTAGGGACAGTGAAGGCAAAATAGACTTTAAACGTGTAAAATTAACCAGACGGAGTTCAATTGATTGGTGGCCACAATCAAGGCGCGAGTGAAATTCAATCCTCCAACACATAGCAATAGTTCTTAACTTTATAGCTAGGTGGCGTGAGCCACCGCCCGATCTAAAGAGCACAGCCGGATACATGCATCCATCCATTCAAACATCCAGCCATTCAAACGTGTTTCATTTCTCAGGCAACATGGGCTCGGTACAGTTTTTTAAGCTGTCTGCGTAGACTGTCTACGATCTGTCTTAGAATTGGAACACAGCCCATGTATTTATTTAAAATTTTTATGTCCAATGCACCAAATTGATGTGAATTCTGTACGTTCACCTCGACAATCGTGTGAATGACATATTGCCTATTTTCGTGAAGCATATATATTTTAAAGACATTTTGTGTTAAACAAATTCGTAAACAAATTAACCAATAAAGAACAGGAAAAAACGACTGTAGCGGGATCCTCCATTAATCTATGGGTGCTGAGATTTCAGTGCACCTAAATTCGCACCAGCATTTGAAGGCAGCGGAGCCTACGGAGGACCGCCAGCTTCGGTGCGGCCAACATTGCTTTTCCAAACCACCACGATAGCGCCGTTTCCAAAAAAAAAAAAAAAAAAGAAACAAAAAGGGGAAAATTGAAAAGAAGCTGTGCAGTTGCTAAATTTCGCAACCATGCTCGTCAGCGAGGTCAGTTACGAAATTTCTTGGTTTTTATTTAAGCGAACAAAAACGAAAAGGTCTCAATTGTCACGATATTTCCATAAGTGTGTGTGTGTGTGTGTGTGTGTGTGTGTGTGTGTGTGTGTGTGTGTGTGTGTGTGTGTGTGTGTGTGTGTGTGTGTGTGTGTGAGAGAGAGAGAGAGAGAGAGAGAGAGAGACATTACAGACATGATGAAGCCCGCAGCCTGAGCACATTCAACGTACGAGTCCAAAAGCAAGTAAACAACATCCGCCAATGTCCAGGCACTACCTCTGCCACCAATCGATGTTAATTTGCCTCTCTTTGTTTTGAAAGAACACATTGTAACTTTTCTGTGCCTTTTTTACCAATATACGCAACTAAACAAGGCGTGCCTGTAAGAGAGAAATGCTGGAAGTGTTACCGTTCGTGAAGGCCCACCCTGTGTCGCGCCTGGAGTCGCAGTTTTTACGCTATTATTTCGCCATCGAAAAAGTTCCGCGTTTTGAACGACTAGGATAAGTTGCCAGCTGCGGAATCGCGCGTAACATCCACAGCAATACAACGTGTAAAAACAAAAGGCCTATCCACCATACCGAACCGGCGAGACCATACTTTGCGCCGTGGTGACTCTTGGATGACTGGTATACCTTTATTTAATTTTTGTTTCTCATTTATCCGCTGGTGTTTATCCCGTTCATAGCAATATACATGGTTCAGCCGGGGAGCTCGGCCTACGTGGCCGAATCCCCAACATGGAACTGCAGTAGATTACAGCGAGAGCACATGAGAGAAAAAATAGGAGGAACGGAAATAAGGTAAACGGCGAGACAGAGCCTGTGGGGGGGATAAATCGCGATCAAATGCGTTGCGGGAGGCCTTCGTGCCGGCGGCTGTGACGTCTAATGCTCATAAAATATGGAACGTTGAGCCGCCTGCAGCCGGGCGAGACACGCCAAAAACTACCGCGCTACACGCCCTACACTGCCGATAGTGAACTTACACACTCCGCGTAATCTTCGGAGAATACCGACGATCAAAAAAAAAAAAAAAGGGGTGTTCTGATGGTTTCTGTATATGCCACACGATCGAACGAGTCTTGCGGGAAAGCATGCTTTACTCCTCCGAGAAAGACTAAATAGTTACAGTGCCTAAGATATGGCGTATACATAACACCGGCCACCATTTTTTCTTTACTTTTCCATCTGGTAGAAGCAGTGGTGCGATCTTAATTGTTTTTGGCACTAGGCTTAGCTTGAAAGTACGGGCGTTCCTGCGCAACTGCGCTGTGCAATTTACTGAGAAAGGAAGGAAGTGTAAAAGTCACTTAGGCTGCGTAGCAATGGGCCTTTAGATCTGTATAAAGAATGCGGACTGGAGCGATTTGGAGCGAAAGTGGTGTAATGACATGGCGTATAATAACCTACGTGCCTACACACGTATGAACATGCGATTAAGAATTACATTTGACGAAGAGGGAAAGAGAGAGATCTTCATCATTTTTTGTTTGATAATTTTTTCTATACTTGTTCATTTCAGTTCTGCAGTGCTTATAGGAATAAAGTAGCCGTAGTGACGTAATCCTGAACTTCTACACAGCAGGATAGTTAGAACAGAACAGAATAAATAAAAGGAAAAAGTGAGACATGAAGGAGAAAAGGTATGAGTGTTAATCAGACAAGCATCTTGTTTGCAACCTGTGTTAATAAAGGGGAATAGTAAATCGGAGAAAAAATAGAGAGAAGCATTGCAAGTATAGTCGAAAATTAGCATGTTATCAATAAGCAGGTATTCTAAAGTATGTGTTCAATCTATATTAGACTGCAAAACAGTGGCAAGCACAGTTCTTTATAATAGTTAAAGTGGACTTTCGTGAGCCTGTGACACCTGCCACCGTGGAGAAGAGATTGGCGGTACGAAAGAATGCTTTATATAAACAGCAGTTTCGCTTATGAGAGGAAGGCTTGATTACGGGCTGCTTATGAGTCCATGCCAGCGGTTTTTAATAAAAGCCGCTGGTTTTGCCCCCGTTCCCCTGGCTTGGCTCCGCGGGTAGTTGACTCCCCCTCCCCTCCTTACCCTCCCTCCTTTCAATTTTTTCTTCTCCCCCCTTTATTTCTTTTTCTTTTATTTAAAACAAAATCTTTTGGTGCTAACCCTATTCATTTTCCTTTTAATTGGATTAAGCCCGTTATACCTAGTGGCCCGGGCTGGGGCCTTTTTCTTTTCCGTTTTTCTTAAATTTCCCCACCATATTACATGTCTTGACGCAAAGCATTGAGCTAGCTAAAAAAAATTTGAAATTCCATTTGGAAAAAGTTTAGTATACGTTAGAGTGGTACTGGCTCAGGCTTATTTTCAGGGAATTCTCGGTACAGTTAGATGTGCTTCTCTTAAGAATGTGAGAAAGACGTAGTATACCCCTGTCCACATTTCTTAAAAGGGGAGTGGGTAGTTTTGCGACAAATCCAATCGTTTTGTTGTTACTCAGCCTCAAAGCGTTGGTACGCAACTAAATAACGTTGCGAACCATTATGGAATAATTCTTTTTGTGCCGGAACGGAAACGGAACAGAACTCTTTGCGACGAAACGAAACTAAAACCGAAACAAAAACATTTAGTTCTGACCCCCTGGTGTGTGCGCAGGCACTACGTCGCATCACAGTCGCATCACAGTATTATTATTCCTTGAAAACATCACGCCGGCGTATACCTCGCAGGGCTATGTAGGTCCCCCTGCTTCCTACAAAATTCTTTGTCTACTCCCCATGTCTCTTACTGTTATTATTTTTAGACCAGTAGTTGAAACCACTGCGGGTATGAGAAAACACTCGCAAAAACACCAGCGCATCTAAGGTAAAGGTTTCCGGTAAAGGTTTCCTAACTTGCCACTGAAGAGTAAAATAGTTTATTTAGTTTGAATAGTAGTGCGCGGTATAGGCGCACATCTTCATCTCAATTGATTGGCGATATTGAAAGAAAGAAATGATTTATATTCTGAAATATTGAAAACGAGGTCAATTTTGGAAGCTGATCGCAAAATTGCCGGTTTTCCCTCTGGTCATTGATACAACTGGCGCAAGAGCATGGACGCTTTGGATACTGCCTTTCACATAAACGCGCACATTGAAAACATGCTTGAACTGTCTAAGTATTCCAGGCAGCCACTACACTTGCTTATACGTTAAGAAAAATGTTATTCGGGTAAGTAATACCTCACGCCTATGGTATACGTTAAAGTGGACCACAATAATATATTTTGTTCACTGCTTCAATTGTTTATAGCCAGATGCCCTCCATTCCGTCGAGCTACGATTTCTAAAAATTCCGCCTTAAAACTATACTTGACCGATAACTGATGTCCAGATGTCCGGGGCTCGTACTTCGGACTACCACGCAATGAAACCTGCTTTTCACTGGCCGCTAGACCGGATGCTGGATGTTCCTTCTGCAGCGAAGAAATGTGAACCTCGGAAAAGCATCGCAATCGACCTACAAAGCAAACGTTGCGTGCCGTTTCGTTTCGGCGCTCCGTCGGTTTTTTTCGTAGCCGCGCCGACTTTTCCCTTCTCTTCCACCTCCCTTTTTCGCCTTCTTTCCCTCTTGTCGTCCCTAAAAGTGAGACGGCGCACGCGCGTGCGTAGCAACGCGGAGCCTACTACGCATGCGCAATGAAGACGGGTGTCCACGCAAGCAAGTGGCGTGACGCACAGTGAGGGAGCGTAGCCTAGCAACACTGCAGCGTGGCGAACTCCACTTCCGGAGCTCGATGTTCTTTCGGGACCTCGACTGGCCGTCACTAGACGGCGGTGTGAACCCTCTCGGTGGTTTTCCAAAGCTTGGTGAACCTCTTTCGATCTATGAAAACTTTATCGAAGTTATTTTTCTCCCAGAGATGGCGCTGTGGTTAGTGTGCTTTCCTTAGTGCAACAGTTCGAGTGCCCGTTTCTGGTGTTCACGTAGGGCGAATCTCTCTACTCGAGCCATTGATTGGAGGTACCGGAAGGTGGGGGGAGGGGGAGGGCTGAGCCTTAGCGCCATTCCCCGTTCGCTGCCGCCACTCTTCTGAGAATCCGCCAAGCGCTCAGCATCATCCCCATCTCTATCACTGCTCTCGAGCCTCCTGCACACGCACGCACGCTTCGCTTTGGCTTCTCCGTCGAACAGAGCTGACTCACGGCAGAGCGGTTTGTCTGCGTTCTTGAGTGACTCCTTGTTTGCTGGTGATCTCGCGACGAAGACGAGGATCTCTCTATAAACCATAGGCGGAAGCAACACACCGATTCCCAGGATCTCCATTTCATCGTCGTCTAAGACAGGTAAGCAATTATGTGTGAAGTGTGAAATGAAAAAAAAAATAATTTGGGTCGAGAGAGTGCCCGATGACTGCCCCGGGGGAAAGGCCTCGCTTTCGTCGCCTTGCATTCCAAGCTGTTCTCCTGTAGTTAGTCGCCCTCAAAGTTTAATATTTTCACTCGTAAACTGCAGCTTTTTCGCTTGTTAACACTACGATGAAGCGCACTAGGTTCATGCGAGGGTGGTCCAGGTGGGTTAGGCTCGTTACAGAAGGGCATGCAACTTGGACCTAGTAATTTTGGAGAAAAACTTATGTTCGTTTCACATTTTGCATGCAACAGTGATGCAGATATAGTTAGCTATCTGTGGCAGCATGTAATGAAGCAAAATTTTATTAATCAGTAATACATGTGCCGCGCTGTTCACTTACTGATCGGAAAAGTTCAATATGTAAAAAAAAATGGAGTGTATGTGCTGTTCACTTCGCATGCTCTTTGCACGTGATATGTTAATGTGTGTTTACGGATAAGGTGTTGAGAATATTTTTGCGCCGGTTTTCGTCGAATGGCGGGGTAGGTAACAAATGTGAATGGAACACATTCGTTTTTTGGGGCCTTGATGAAGCGCAGTGATCATTGACTATAAAGAACTACAATGAAAACGCCTAATTCAGACGTACAGTAACCTATCTTAGCTTTAGTTTATTGGTGATCTGCTTCTTTTTCACGTAATATTATGCCGTGTGAGATTATACCACCTCGCAGTGTCGTATGCCTACGAAGATATTTCCAAACTTTTATGGTTATCAGCGATGCCATTTTCATTACTTGCATTTCATGTCATACTTATCATTTCGAACTTCATTATAGATACAAGAAAGATTTATTTCAGGCTTTAATGCTGATACATGTACGCAAGTTGAAGTACCCTGTCAAATCAGACGCCCTATTATCTGAAGTTTGAGAAAAGTATTCAATAATAATTTCATTCTTTCTTACTCTCTATTTTTAACTTCCCGCTACTCTTGCAAACATACCCTTCAGTTATAATCCTTACGTAACGTAGAGATTGTGGGCTCTTGTCACGGAAATCTAAGTCAAGTATATCGATGAGAAAGTGCGAGAAAAATGATGTAGCTCGCACTAAGTCGTGCAATGCTTGAAACAGTGACGATGGACGAATTTGATGTCTATTCTGGTTGCTTGTATGTTGTAGCTAGGTTTTTATCGAGGTGATGCCAGGTTGCCTATATATAGATAGCTGCTAGGCTTTGAGCTATGTTTTTTGTTGATTGTAGGTCATTTCTGGGCTTTAGCTAGTTGTTGTGAGGTTGTTTTTAGGCTATTGGTTGTTTTTGTTAGACATCAGGACAATCCCGCTTCGTCGTTTGAAGCCTTGTTCAACTTGGGGCAGGCCTTCTTTTCTATTTTCTTTTTTCCATTTTTTGCACGCTTTTCGCGTGCACCTATTCACTCAGCAGAGTGTTCGATTGACGCTAGCGCCTGCTGTGCTCGGTAGTAAGACTTGCTTAGTTGTTGCGGCGCATCCCCACCCGAGAAGTTGCGCGCGCAATAGCTCAAACATTTTTACCGCAGAGGAAGAGAATGCATGCCTGTTCCTGATGATGATCGTTTTTGTGCATATTGTATACGGCGAAGTTTCTACGGCCAGGTTAAACAGCTTAGCTATTAAAATGAACAAAAGTAAGTGTGATCTTTTCGTTGGATGCCTATTGAAGCACCTTACGTTAGAAGCCCATTGAAGTGCTTATATAGCTCAAATCTAAAAAGCAGCAGCTATATTAGAGTTACAAATGTTTGTTTCAGATAGCGCGAACAAAGAAAACATGCACGTTGATTACATTTTTGGTTTTCCTAATGTCGTTTTATTATTGCTGTAAAAAATGTAAGATACTACAGTAACAATAAATAAGTAACTCGGTAGGGCTTTGTGAAGTATGAAGACGTTGCTATGGAGATTCACTGTAAGAAAGAAAATTGTATAGATATCTAGAGTTTTTTCAACTGTTTTTTTTTATGTTCTACGCCGACAAAATGCGTAAAATTTAGCGACACTATATTATAGCAACATGGCGATTCGTCCTAATTGGAACACATTCATCTTGAAATGTTTGCGTAGACACACGGGGACACAGAAAAAAAACACAAACGGGTGCAATCAAACAAAAGTTTTTTTTTTCAAAAACATTCACTGAATACCCCTCAGATTTGCGCCATCTCATCACCAAAAATATTTGAACTGCGCACATATCACAACTTACGATCACAAGCTCATTGAACACCGGACAGGAGCGAAATTTCTTTCGCTAGTAAACAAACGAAGGGCGGCTAAGACACTTATCTTTCAGCTTGTTAATAAGATAGGCTTCCATTATTTCTCTCGAAGTTCTGTTTCCATGCTCATATTCCAAGGTAGTGTTGTTAAAACAAGGAGAACATGCGCCCTCATTGTAATGCAGTGCTAACTGTGTATTGGGGCGACCTTTCAAACTCGACATATGCTCCCTTAGCCTCGTGTTAATACATCTGGCAGTCTGCCCTATATATACACAACCACACGTCAGAAGTTAACCACATTGTGTGCACATTCAACAAACTAGAACTTGTATATTGTGCTGCATTCCTTATGTACACTGCTCGCTTTGTCACAATTCTGGTTGACCAACGCGCACACTCTTCCGATTTTGTTTTTGCCCGAAGACACCACGTTTACATCGTACCTTCCAGCTGCCCCCCCCCCCCTTTTTTTTTTATTCTGTGCGAAAGCCCATGTACATAAGAAATTGCTACCACCTTGGATCTAGAACCCTTTCAACCCACTCGTTTAGAAAAATTGCGCCCGTTCGTGCTCTTTTCTGTGTTCCCATGTGCCTGCACAAACATTTCAGGATGTATATTATAGCATCGATAATAAATTGCTATGCTCGATTTTGAACCAACTTCTTCATCGAATGAAAAGTTATTGCAGCGCCAGAGAAATAAAATCACGACATATCTATGGAGTGAATGATCATGAGTGGGTCAAAGCGTCCGTCAGTCGGCCCGCGCTTTTGTCCGTCCGTTCGTTTTTGGTACCGTCCATCCGTGCGTCCGTCTATGCGTCCATCCGTCCGTCCATGCGTCCGTTCGTTCGTCCAAGCATCTGTCTGTCCGTCCGTCCACGCGTCCATCCATCCATTCGTCTGCTTGTCTGTCTGTCTATCTATGCGTCCGTCCATCTAGAAAACACTTCAAGTACCGCCATCTCGCAGATTTTCATCATATATCCATCATATAAAGTACCGCCATCCAGCGGATATTCCAATGACTAAACGAGAGGGGGCTACCTACTACTACTACTACTACTACTACTACTACTACTACTACTACTACTACTACTACTACTACTACGATGACGATGACAACGACGACGACTACTACTACTATACATACTTCATGGATGCACGACCCACGGGTTAAAGAGCTTCGCCCCTAAAAAGTATAGCTTCGCGACGCCTCCGATGCTGCGGTAGTATTCATTGTGAAACGTTCCCGCAAACGTACCGCGGTAGCATAGTGCGTAGCGTCAGTTCGTCTTTCTGCAGTCGCGTAGAAATCTGGACTAGAGAACGTTGACAACGTGGGTAGTGCTTTGGCAATGCGCCGTTTCTTTAAGGAGACGCGTTGCTACTTCTACACAAGCGTACTCCGAGATTACATAAATGTTTGAAAAAAGTTGCATCTTCCCTTGTAATCGCTCTCATGCGATTAAGTGCGGAGTCATATTGCTTCTGTATTTCGCTCAGGCGTTGGTGCAGGTTTTCATTCACTGGAGAGGACTGGAGAACAGGGGATGTCCAAAACCAACTTTAAGATGGTGAGCGACGATAAGATGACCCAGATGCTCTACTAACAAGAATGACAATAATAACTTAATTTGCGTACAGGTTAGCGTTCTCACTATCGAGTAACATCTATAGCTTAAAATAATTGCTAGGGCTTGCCACTTGCAGTACGCTGGCGCTGCGCACACTAGCTTCAATACGTTTAAGGGGGTGCCACAACTTGTACGAATTTCTTGGACCTGCGCATGATTCTGTTTGCACAGTGTAGATTTTACTTTTGCTGAGATCACTGGCTCTGTACGGACTGTGCACTAATCGTCAAACGTTTAAACAAGAATAGAAAGCGACGTTTAAAAACCCAGAGTTACCCTTAATGATGTAAAATGTCAAGAGAGCCTGGAAAAACCGAAGGTTGGGAATGCTACAAAGGTTGTACGCTGTGACACTTATGCGTGAAGAGGCGACGTAAGTATAGGAGAACGTGAGTATAAACGGGCGATGTGAAAATGTATTGCAGCCTTAATCTTTAGTGATTTAAAATGCTTGCACCAAAGAAACAAGTTTTAAGTGCCTAGCGAGTGACTTTAAGGATGCGATATTGGTTTGGCACTTACTAATGAAAATATAGTGACAAAGTCATACCTGCATACAAGTTTTAGTAATACTTAGAAAAGATTTAACGCCTTCGGTGTTATTCAGGGAGCCTAGCGAAGCAAATAAGTAAGCATATATACAAGAGGCCTCAGCACATGAAGTCATTTTCTGGTTATTGAGTAATAATGAATTTCTTATGCGAAAGAAGCACGGATCGGCATCAACTTTACAACCATATGCGTAGTTTATGTTGCGGCCCTTACCAAAAAGGACAGGGTTGTCCACACGAAGCGTCCTCCTACAGATCGCTGCCGAATATCGTGTAAATATCATATTAGGACCACCGCTGAAGCGAGTCAACCCTGTCAGAACAGCACAACCCGGGAAGACGTATAACTAAGGGTAAAGTCCAAGTATATCGAAATCCTCGTGAATGACGCTTTTTTTTCGGTGCACCTGCTGATTATAGAAGCGCTATCTCAGGTCGCAGCCTGTTCCAAAACATCTCGCCTGGTTAATCTGCAAAAGAAATACGGCTCGCGAAAAAGAGCCCCCGGCGCCACATTGTGCGACGCGCATTCGTGA